GTACTGTTCCATATCCTTCTATTTCATTTTATTACTTTGCACATTAATTGACGACGGATATTTTTCGTTATTTCCCGATCCTGACAAGGAGCACACGGCGGATGTGACAGGTCGGCAGGGCATGCATGCTCACTCCATAGTGGCACCTTATCCCAACTCTGATGTTTTGGAGGTCAATGTTTGCTCTGCTCTAATTTTGTATTGTTTTATGGACTTTGAGATTGAATACTGTTCGTTATCTCCATATCCTTCTGTTATACCATATCTTCAAATCAACAACATCTATTTTTTCATTGTAGGCTGGTCAAACCAACGCTTAAATTCATAGAAGACACAATACTCAATGTGTTAGAACTAAATGAAAATTGGAACTGGACCCACAAATAACAATTTTCCACAAAGCTCAAGAATATTTATTAACACATTAATATACATTTATAAGTAGGTTATTTGGAAAACGAGAAACAAAATTAAATAGGAAAATGTAAAAAACAAATTATTTAAGCATAAATGCTGCCTTAAAATATGAAATCAAATCCAATTTTTCTTTATAATTAAACAACAATTCGAACTGCAAACTAAAGGAAGATAATAAAAAAGATAATTTACTAAACATTTTTAAACCAACAAAAGTGTTTTTAGAAACTAACTCTTAAACCAAATGCCAAATTATCATATGCATATAGTAAGCCTTATATAATACGATAGAATATTGATAAGCACTTCTTACTATAATAAAAGTTCTTCATCATCCTCTTTTTTATTGCTTTCTCACACATGTAAATGAAGGACCCATACTGGAGGGAGACCTGACCCTCAGTACAAGTAGCGGTGGGACTTGATGGACTCTAATTTTTTTTTATACAAATATCCACTGCAAAAAGGGTCATATATACAGATGTCAATGGTATTATATCAAATATTTACAGAAACACACGGAAAATGTCAGTAATATTCTTTGATTTATTATTCTGTGAGGGTTTGATTTTATTGTACGGAAGTTAAATATACAAAACAATTATATTTATATAATTAGCAATAGTTTATTATGTTCAAAATGATCACAGGTATTTGCATCTCTGCTATTATGTATAAGATTTTTTTTGTATGATATTTATATTGATGAATAAAAAAAAGTTATGGCAAAAGTTTGAAAATTATATTTTTATTTTAAGTCACAGTCAAGGTCACAAGGCCATTGGCCTTTATGCCTTTAAAATTCGTGGAGTATGCATACAAAATATGAAGTCTCTTTCTCTCATGGTTAAAAAAATATGAAAAAGATTAGATAAAATTTGACAATAGACAGACAGACAAGCAGACAGACAGATAAACAGACGAACCGATAAACAGACAAACATACAGGACAAAAACAATATATGCCTTGGATTTATCGATCTGGGCTCATAAAATGTTGGTAACTTAAGAAAGTTCTTGTCAAATGTTCACATATTTAAGTAGCTCTTACTAAAATATTATCGTTACGTAACTATAGTTTACATTAGTTCACTAAAGTGATAATTTGACACTAAGTTGACTATAGTGCATGATGCATGTCTCTGATACTTTGATTTACTATAGTGGTTGATTTGATTCGAACATATGTAAAAATTAAATAAACGGATTGGGCAGCAGTCATAGCCTATATAAGCCCTCTCCACGGGTACAAGGTTAGATAATACACATATGGTAACAGGTTCAATATCACCAATAAATTATATATTACTAACACAAAATTGAATACAATTTAGGAGAAAGTACAAAAAAAGTACATAGGTCTACAAGAGAAAAAAATGAATACTGGTTTATGTAGAAATGAGAGGAAAAAAATAGAAAATGAGAATTACAGCAATTTATAAACATACAATGAATTTGTATTTGATTTGGGCAAGAACTGGAATAAATATTTCATAGTTTCACTTCATTTATGAAACCTTTTGGTTTGTGATATATATGTATGAACACAATCAAACACTTTCATATTTCTTGCATGAGAAATATTACTGTCGCCAAATTATGAAATATTTAGGGAAACAGGATGTTGCAGGTCTATACTGGATATACAATTTAAAATAGTATGTCTTTGCTCAACATAACATTGGCATTCAAAGAAAAAATGACATGCGTTTTCTGTATGAAAACCACATTTTTTTACATTTGGAACTATCACTAATATAATATTTCTGTAAATCACCGTTTAAACTACTAGCATTATTTCTTAGCTGACATTGTAAATAGTATTTTTTATTGAAATAATATTTTCATGATTAAAAAGCTTATTGTGTGTTCTATAATGAGTCTTTTTAATGGCATTAGTGAAAGAAGATTGCGTTGGTAAACTTCTGATATGATATGTAATGGTTATAAGCCGAAAACTGTCCATTATGTCAGATATTAGACGACCCGAGGCGCGTTAGCGCCGAGGAGAGTCTAATATCTGACATAATGGTCAGTTTGAGGCTTATAACTTACCTAAAACATTTCACCACTATCGAACACGTCCATTGTTAACTTATTGGACATCCACAGGTAAGGTCTCGTTCTGCTTGGATGACTACCTGGCACTGTTCATCAAGTTAGGCCAAAGAAAACCAGTTTTGGTTTTTCTTCTGTCTTTATTAATAGTAGGAATCATCGAGAGATGTTTTATATCGATTAATATGAACATTAACTTTGTTTAGTCTTATTTATCCGCATTGCAACATTTTTATACATACTACGCATGTGTAAAAGTCAGTTTTACTAAATTCTTTACAATTTATTCATTTTACAACGCAACGAACACGGATGACGACGTAAATTTTAATTCCGAAAAAAAAGACATTGATTTCAGAATCGGGTGTTTTGACGATGCAATTTATCGATTACACCAAGATGCCTCCTCAGTTCAAGTTTTCTTCTGTGAAATCCGGATATATATTCTTATGTTTCGGAATTTGCAAGAAACAGTTTCCTGTGAACAGGTAATTTTTGTAATGTAATCGATTTGAAGGGTTTTACTCCAACAACTGTTTCAGAATTTTCTTTGAAATTTGGAGATTATTTCTAATGTTTTTTTTAAAAAAATGCAGCACTTTCTCTTTTGTGTGCAGGTTTTGAACTCGGAAGGATTTTACTCCCGCCACTTCTTAAAACAACGATAGAAACTCGCTTAAACAACTGAACAACGCGGGACTAGGTGGACAAATGGTGATAAATCACCGAACGAAATTACAGATTCCGTTGGAATTTCGTAAGCTAAATTTTATGCTAAATGCGGAAAAAATGGATATTTCAATAAACAAAAAGCCCAAGGTTGTGTGTAAGAAGTGAAAACGCATGCTTTTCGTTTATCTTTTGTGTCCATTGGATTCTATATATGTTCCATGGATCAATCATTGTGAAATGAATCTATTACTCCAGTATATTGCAATGAACGGTGAATTTACGAAATTTTTGATCGGAGCCACGGATGCGTCTACAATAATTAGGCCTTTCGACTAATTTTTCAAGTTGCACCTATGGTAAAAAAACATTGTATAGATAGATTTATAGGTACATGAAATTATCAAAAAAGATAATAACTTATGCATACATTTAATTACATCATTAAAAAGTTTAATCATTTATAATTGACTTTTCCGATGTTGTGTTTAAGGACAGGTAACCCAGGTGTGAAAAATGACCAACTTAGTGCCGATTTATGAGTTATCGTTTATAGGAATGACATATAGGCTGCTTCAGCATTGGTATTGTTATATACACAAAAGGGTTCCTTACATTGTTTTGTACACAAAAAGTTTTGACCAAGAGAAAGAGAATGCCTTCACTCTACCTGAAATAACAGGAGTCAAATGAATGGGGAACAGACTATATTCAATAGTTTTAACTCTCTTTGACGATTATTATGAAGAAGAAAATTTAATGTTATGTTTTTTGTGTTCGCGCTTTTTCGCTTCCTGTGTAAATATATATATTTTTACAAGTAAGTGCAACAATTGATCATCTTATTTGTGTTACTAAGCACGAAGGGGAACGACCGAGAATAAAAATTTAATTAGGTTAGAACTGAGAAGGAGGGTAGATTTCACTTTTTATTTTAATTAAAGATTTTAATTATATGCAGTAAACCGGTGTCCGGAACTATACAGTAAATAAGTTTTACATTTGTGCTAAATCTTAAAACCACTGGATTCTACTGAGAGCAAAGAAACACTTGTGAAATTTTAAATACTGCCTTGCGTGTAAACAGTTAGATACCCCGAGCCTGCTCTAAACAAGTTTCAGCAGTGAATTATCGTTCATAACACCGACCCCTAGCGGCAGTTGAAAGGCCTACAATAATGAATCTGAGACATTCAACTCACTGGATTATTTGTGCCATTTTCAATAGGATATTTTGTGAAATATTAACATTTAACGCTACTAATCTCCAACATTGTTCATATTAAATTGTTTGATTTGCCATTGCTTTTTGAGTGCTGTTTACTTATTTGCCTCGCCCTTTGTTCTCATTTTCGTTACCTGTACCCGTCCAATAAGTTGAATCTTATTGGGCACCTACAGGTAACTTATTGGACGGGATACAGGACAATAACAAATTTATTGAACCACGTTTAACAAAAGATTACGTCACAAAAATGTTTTAGGTAAATTATTGATTTGTAGTTTATAGATGGGAAATAACTATTCATATATGATGTGGTCCTCGTTTGAGGAATAAGAAAAGTAAGGCCATCATTGATCATTGTGTCTAAATGAATATGTGGTTTGGGTGGAACACAAGGTCTTAATAGATCTTAAAGGTATTGTGGCGCTATTTTGTCAAATAATATTTATTAATGTACTATTGGAGTTTTATGAAGAGACTTACTTTTACATTTGACAGCTGACTCTTACATTTTAGTGATTGGAGTTTGACTATGTTAAAATTGTAAAAGTCAGTTGTCAATTGTAAAAGTAAGTCTATTCATAAAACTCCTTCCTTCTGTCAGATAATGTATTCCACCCCAATTCTCGCAGTAATCTGAAATTCTTCCAGTAAAGATGATTCCTTTTCATTACAATTACCTCAAACAACGTCACCATATTCTAAATTTGGTCTAATAAAGGACATATATAATTTTATTAACGCATCTCGACAAAGGGAGTGTTTTAACATTCGTAGAACATATAAACGTCTACATGCTTTTTCTATACTATATTATAATGCTAACTATGAACACTGATTTACTATGTAGCGATATCTTTAGGAAGTTAAACACCTACCCACCCTCCCACACTTTAGAGGGGACATAATAATGACAGTAACTGTTATTGACACAATATGATGCCTTGCCTGCGGTCTTATTGCTTTAATATCTATTCTGCAAAAGAGAATTAGTCGTTGTTTAGAATAATTTTAGCCAATTCTGACCCAATCTACTACAGCTCCAGCAGTAACGCTTCCTAGGAGTCGAAATAAAATATTTCCTAGAAATCCAAGAACAGATGGGCCATTCCATAAAGATGTTGTGAACAGAAAACCCAACAGACATCCTAAGACAGTACCACCTGAGGCACACATCATGGCGATCATTCTTTTGACTAATTCTCTTTTATAAACGGGATTCGTGATTAGACCTCTCTTCTTGTCTTCCCGAAATTTGATTATGGACAAAAAGCTTATGAATTCCAAAATAATTGAAAAGAGGAATGAGTATCCCACAGTTTTGACACCGAGAATTAAAAACTGTACTGAAATTTCGTACATAAATCTATCAATGTGATAGATTTCTTCTGTTTTAATTCCGTGCTGTTTTCTAAATCCTTCTACGAAATTTTTAAGAAATTTTGGTACACGTGTCATTGGCGATTGTCGGAAAATATTTATGAATCTTACTGCTGCTCGTGATGCCCAATTTCTTGCTTTTAGTTTTTCATTTATTTCAGTTGCGAATTTTTTAGAGTGACGTCTGAGCAACGGAGAAACCAAGATGCTTGCACATCCCTTTAACAAGGTTTCTAGCCACTCGCAAATGAGTACATCTATAGAGTCCCCCAAGGCCCTTTTGAAAAATCCAGCCAGGTTCCACTGCTCTGATTGTGAAACTCCTGTCAATATGTACGTCACAAGATTCTCACAGTTGCTAGCTGAGACATAGTACCTTGTTTCTCCCTCCCTCCCTCGCCATCTGCTCCAGGCAGTTGCAATAGCCTCTGAATTTCTCGGATATGCATCATTGTTTATAATATATAATTCTTTCTCGATGTCGGCTTTGAGCTGTTCTCTAGATAGCATCTCTTTCTTTGCGATTCCTTTGCCAATCACATTTAAGTCTGTGTTGACCGTGTAATGTATTATTTCACAGGCTTCATCCTCCCACTTGTGCCCTAGCAAAATGTAATGGTGATCATACAAGCCTCGACTGACTTTTAAATGGTGCATGGACATATTGTCCGAACTTGTAAGCGTGATGAGATGCTGAAGATCCGTTATTTTAGTTTTTCCTTGTTCCTGTGCCATCTGGAAGTTAGATGCCAAACGTTAAAGCAACAATTTGAACCACTTTATAAAACGATTTGCTTTCTTCATGGTTACTTTACATTTATATACATGTACACTTAGTACAGCTTTAAGGTATTTTCGCTGCATTTAGTATTTTTTTAAAGCAGAATTTAACCCTGCATATTAATTCTTGAGGATGTAAACTTAAAATGTAAGTAGATTGTTAATTTGCAAAAGTCAAAGTTCAAAGGATGTCGCATTATAGAAGACCCAATATGAAGAGAGCGAACAATTATCAAGCTCAATTTATAAGACCATTGTAACATTATAAACTTGGAGCAAAGCAAAAGTGGGACTTTGAAGAACATCACATATGAGATCATATGCCATGGAGTAGTAATAGTAGCTTCACGTCGGTCAATAAGAATATTTTTCTGTTGAGTAACAAACCATATTTCACACTAAAAGTGTCCATAATTGAATAATATTTGCTGACGTCATTTTATCGATCGATTAGAGAACTTGCGAAATGTTGAATTTTAACGAGATACCTTATGTTAGAAATTGTTCACTTACATGGAGTATGCTCTTGAGAATGGAATCAACTGGAAGATGTGTATTCCAGAGATATTGCTATTTAAATAAGGGACGAAATAAAAGTTGAACGCAACATAAAATTTTGTTGGTAGATAACCATCAAAGTCGTTTTCTGGTAAAATATCCATATATGAAACAAATATGTCAGAATCACAGGTACTTGTGGACAGGACCCCCCTCCCCCCTCCCCGATATTCAACCCCGGGGCTTATTTGACAATTTTTTCACAATTTATATTTAGTACACTTAGTCAACATGTTTGCAATAGGAACAAATTGTCAAAACCCCAAAATAATCGCTCCACAAAAAAATACCCCACTATACATTATAATGTATTTTGGGGTATTTTTTGTGGAGCGATTATTAACTAAAGTGAACTGACATGTCCGTTTTTCCGGAGTGAGGGTCATGTTCGAATAATTTGATACAAATGAAAAGTTTGGTTAGATCTGAATCCCCTTGCTTCTTCTGTCTTCGTATATCATTACTATACCCCAAATTCTACGATGTTTGTGGCATAATTGGTAGTAAAATAAGTGACTACATGTATATCGAAAGTAAACAAAACAATATTATTCTGCAAAATAAATTTTAATTTTTGTCATTGTGCATGCAGGAAATTAAAGAGCAGTGAACAGATATATAAGAAATAATCAAACGAATGAACAAACAAAAAATAAAATAGGCCTTTTAGTTTATGTCATCAAAAGAAAACTTTCTCTTCGCCTTAAAAAAATCCTCACAGCATAAGTATAACGGTAAAAAAAGTATTTACCATATGAACCAAGTTTCAGATACTAGTACTCCTCGTTCCAGTCAACATCAGTTTCTCTTTGAAAATTTATGACGTATTTAAATAAGGTCGAATATCACTTTACGAGACTCAAAAGTTTTAAATGTATTCATGCGCGTTTTCTATATTAGATAGTGGTGAAAAAAACTCCAGTAAGGACACATTTGGAGGGCGGAAGTATTAATGTTTGTTCACAATTTTAAAGAAAATATTCACGTCAGGTGTTTGATGACTGTTTCTCTTATATTCTTTGTTCAGAAAGATTTGTGTTAGCTAGGAGAAAAAGGAAAAAAATGAAAATCGATGTAAATTTTTTTTTGTAATAAAATGAGATTCTTATTTTTTCTAGACTTTATAACAAATTTGCAATATATTTACTAAAATGTGTCGAATAGAATTAAAAAAAAAAAACCGATTTTATTCATATACTAATCAGACCAAGAGAATGTTTCCCAGTGCATAAAACAAAAGTGTAGTCTACATAAAAATCTAGGTCAACCTAAATTTAACAGTACTGTTGATATTTTGCAACAGATTCAAGGAGTGTAGCTACCATAAGCCACTTATGACAAGTGCCTACACTTATTTGTTTTCATTAAATTAAGAAAGAAATAAAGGACTAAATTAGTAGAAATCGTTTTCGCCATATGCCATTTTCGTTATTGATACAGGCCATTAATTATATTTTACCACATTAATGTGCAAAGTAATAAAATGTAATAGAAGGATATGGAGATAACGAACAGTATTCAATATCAAAGTCCAAAAGCAATAAAAAATAGGAGCAGAGCAAAAACGGTCCTTCGAAACAACAGAGGTGAGATCAGGTGCCATGAAGGAGTGAGCATCCCGTGCCGACCGGTCATATCCGCCGTGTGCTCGTTATCATGACCGGGAAATAACGGAAAAATCCGTCGTCAATTTAGTGTATAAATCATGGAATTACAATAAGCATAAAGACGTCATTCAGCATTAGACATAATGATAAATTGTATTTGCTGACAAGGTCATTGTATCGGCCATAGAACTTACGAAATGATGACTTTAAACGAGACTAATGATATTCTTGTTTCATTAATTTGTTTGTCAATAATTTATCTCATTTTAGAAATTGTTCATACGTAGAGCATCCTCTTGCAAATCGAATCAACTGAGAGATATAAACTCCGTATGCAGGTGACGAAGGTATAATTTGCTGCATAAGTAAGGGAAGTTGACAATAGAAAAGTTAAAGTCATCACGTTTATCATATAGCTTGGTTGTTACATTATCACGAACGTCTTTTTCAAGTAAAATATCTAAGTATGAAACAGATGTGTCAGACTCTGTTGTATCTTTTATCTCAAGCTCACCAGGATATATCGTATCGACGTAGGAATGGAAATCACCATTGTTAATTGACAATACGTCGTCGATATATCTAAATGTCGAGTTGAAGGCCACAGCAAGTGTTTTCTTCTTTTCACGCATAAGATTTTGCACAAATTCTGTTTCATATGAATATAAAAATAGGTCTGCTTATAACGGAGTGCAATTGGTACCCAGTGGAATTCCAATAGATTGTTGGAATACCTGGTCTCCAAAAACTAGTGTTGGCAACGAGTACCCGGTTAACGTACGGTTAACCGTCGAACGATGCGACTATCGGTTAGTAAAACTGCTATTCGGGTTCTCGGATAAAAATACATTTTCATGTTAAATACGTTTAAAATATTTTTTGGTATTTGTAAATGTATATTGACACATTTCCCTAATTTAATTACCGTTAGGCTTGCTTTAGTCGTTCACAAATATGATTGATTTGTTTTGATTAGTTTAATTACTGACGACTTTAATTGCCAGGGGGTACACGTTTTGGAGACCTGAGTTATAATTACCTCATTTAGACCCGTGATGGTCAGAGAAACACACTTTAACAAAATGCCGCCATAATCATCTAAAGCATGGAAATATTGTTAAAGAACGGCGGACTCGAAATCTGTCAGATGCAATTTATGTGAATCGTATACGGTTGGGCTGGAACTACAAATATGCTAAATCACCTAAGATTGAAAAATAATTCGATAACCAGTGACTTGCATGGAACTCAGCAAAAAATAACCAGTATATATAGTTGCAAAATGTTGCAGGGTATGATATCCTCGATCACGACATATATCTTCTTCATGTGTTGATAAAATTATTTTCTTAAACAAAAACAAATTCCCCGTTTCAAGTGACATTTAAAATCATTTGTTTTTGGAGTTTGTTTTTGTAAATAAAGTTCATATATGTAACATTTATTATTTACTTCTATCAATATGTAAAAGGATGAGATTAATAATAAATATGGAAACTATAACAAAAAAAAAAAAAAAAAAAAAATCCGAGTAACCGGGTACTCGATCGGAAGATTAAGCGAGTAACCGGTTAATAAAAATCGTCCGATTTGCCAACACTACGGCAAAACCATGTACTTTTGTGTGCAATCAGAATCTGTTTAAACAAAATAATTTTGGAAATGACCAATGACCAGGAAAGTAAATTTACGAGTTCCATTTTTATTAAAAAGCAGCTGTCAATGATATCAAAAAGCCTGGACTTTAATTTATCGAGGGGAATGGTTGTATATAAAGCTGAAAAGTCGTAGGTTTTTAAGCTGTTGATTTTTGTAAAATCTTGTGATTTCAAATTGTCCAAAAGTTCTTTGGAATTTTTTAGTATCCACATCTGATTCAAACCACTTCTTGAATATATTGTTGCACAGTACTCCTGAAGTTTTTCCTTCACTACTGTCAATCCTAGTGAGGAGTAACGAAAGAGGCTTGGTTGAACATTTACTTGAACCCACAATGTATCTCTGTTTCAAATCAATTAGAATATTTAAAGGATAAATCGATATATTTTCGGACTCCGCATTTAGATTTGAGACATGGTTTAAAGTCACTTTAACAACAGAAACGTGGGGTTATTCAAGTTCAAAATCGGTGAAAATTTGAATTTGAACGTATATAACAAATATCATGTTCATCTACAATGTACATCCAAGTTCATTTTTTAATTTTTTTTTTAGCTCAGATAAACCATGTATAGCTTTAAGCATATGTTAAAATTTTTATTTAATCGAGGTAGCCTTACTTTTCCTTCCCACCAAATACAACCTCTGTTGTATACAAGAGTCCGTATTTTTGTGTCTTTTTTAAAGGATTTGTATTGATAACAAATTAAAAAAAAAAATTTAAAAACATTTGAATAAATTGGGTGATTTTGGAATATTGGGAAAGTCTGAAATTTATTAGAGATTTGGACTATGTCTATGCAAACTAAAAGACAATGCAGCATGAAAAGCAAGCAGAAGAAAGTACTTTGCTGATACTTTGATATGAATTTCTATTTTCCTCTGAGCAATATTTGAAATAATCGTGAACAGATGAAAAAAAAAGAAAGAAAAAGAAAATGAAAATAAGATAGGCTGTCTATTCAAAAGAAAATAATTTTTCCTTTGTTAATAGTACTGTACACTGTTAAAAAATCTATATTTACCATGTGAACCAACTTTTAAATTCTTCCTCGTCCCACTATACACCGTCAACTCAGTGTTATACCAACAACTAGATAAAAAACATTCGTCTACAACTTTACAAAGGGCACTAAAGTTCTTAATGAATGTATTCGTGCGCGCTTTTTTCCGTTATTATAGATATGATCAAAATTAAGAAAAAAATCTAATACATTTTTTCCAGATAAATTTGTTTTTTTTATTTAAGTATACAATTCAAATGTTTTTAAGAAAATATTTTATAAAATGAAATAAAAATACGAGAGTAAAGTCGCATTTCCGACGCGGAAGTGTAACAACACAGATACGTGATCAACCAAAGCTTGAACGAGTCTATTGTCTTTGTTAGATTCAAATCTTGTCTTTTATATTTCTTAATTATTTTTTTAGTGCATCAAGCTAATCAAAATAAAGGAGATTAAATGTGGAATATGGAGATAACTAACAGTATTCAAGCTTAAAAGCCATTTAAACAACACACACCGGGAACAGATAAAACAATTATATCAAAAATATCATTGGTGGAATCAATGTGTGATGACATGAGCATCCCCTGCCGACCGATCACTCAAAACGTGTGCTCCTTATCATGATCGGGGGAAAAAAAATTAAAAAAATCGTAGACAATTCAGTGTAAATAATGGACTAAAATTAGTAAAAAAAAAAAGTCAGTCGTCAAATGCTGTATTATTGTATGGACTCTAAACTTGCAAAACGATGACTTTAAAGGAGACTGTCGATATTCTTGTGTCAACAGCTTGTTTGTTAATAGCTTGCTTCGGTTTATAAATATTTCAAACGTAGAACCTGCTCCATCGTATCGAATGAACTTTTAGACATAAATCCATATGAAGGTGATGAAGATACATGTATATTGCTATATCAGTAAGGGAAGTTGACGATTGAAAGATTGAAGTCGTCATATATTCATCATAAATCTTTGTTATAAGGCTACCATTATTGTATTTTTCTTGTTAAATATTCAAAAGGAAACATATGTGTCATACTTTGTGGTATCTTTCACTTCAAGATTACTGGAATATAGTAAGTCGATATATATATGTATGATTTGAAGTAGCTATTTTGTTAATTGATAATATATAGTCGATGTATCGAATGCCGAGTTGAGGACAACAGCAAGCGTTTTCTGCTTCTCATGTAGAAGTTTATGTTTCAAAATAATAAATACAAAACATAAGACATAGTATGACTTTAATTGTCTACCAGATCTTCATTATACAGCTATATAGATAATCAGAGGACATTATGTAAGAGTTCATCAGCGGTAAGCTCATAATTGACTAACCACAAGACAACAATGTAGATTTTTGCTGATTTATTTACGATTAGGTGGTTTAGAACTCAGGTTGACAGACATTTGTCATTTAAAGTCATTTAACCTCATAAAAAAGAATAGTTATTGCTTAAATTCTTTAATGATAGCCTAGACTTTAAATATTCACTAGATCTTTATTAAAGTGAAATAAAATTAAATGATTCATATTAATAATTTTTCATAATTAAGACATTTTTCTATTGACTGTATATTATTCGTAAGATATCATTATTTTAATGGGAGACATTCA